TGAGCACTTCTGCACTTTCTAGTACTACAAGATGTTCTAGACTCATCCTGTTCTTTCCTTGCCCTAGCCCTTCAATGAGCCATTTCTCCAAGGAGCTCTGGGTTCTTTTATTGGAGAATGATATTCAGAAACCAAGATTTGGATGCAAGATATGTCCATTACTACTGAAATGTCATTACTTCTAGCTCTTCTCAGCAGACATAGCTAGGAAGCGCACACACACATCTCTATCTATCTATCAAAAACCATGAGTAGATACTGACACTTCTGACTTTAGACCAACACCATAGGATTTTTTCTAGTCTTCCCTTTTCCTTATTTGTAATTTCTACAACAACGAGAAATTTAGCTCTTATTATTACTATATATTTACATATTCATTCAATCTTAGTGTATATTTGTTTTTGTATATATATATATATATATATATATATATATACATACATACACATGTATATATATATATATACACACACACACACATATATATATATATATATATATAAAGGAGCTTCAGAATTGCCAACCCATACACCTGTGAGAAACAGATTAACTAAAGTGTGTGTATAGTTCTTTTTGTCTTTAGATTTACAGTATGTTGTGAAAATAGTTTTCCTAAATTAATTTGGTTGGTTCTTTCTGTCCCTACCCTCCTCAGTCTGGTTATATCATTAATTTGTAATAAAAGTAGGTTCAGTTGTTACTGTTTGTATTCATTTTTGGCAGAATACTCTAGATACAAATAAGCTTTACTACAGTATTTTTAAAAGTGTATAACAAATCTGACCTTTAAAGTTTGATAGAAGTCATTTGTGTAACTACTAGGGCCTGGAGCCTTTCAAAAGAATAATTTTTTTATAATTTATAAAATTTCATGGTTATTGGTTTATTCAGATGTACCTTTTTCTGATGGCAATTTTTGCTACTTTATATTACTTCATATAAATGGAACCATACAGTATATTTTCTTTTGTGTCTGGCTTCTCTGCTCAACATGTTTGTGAAACACATCCAAGTTATTGCATGTATCAGGAATTTATTCCTTTCTATGGCTTAGTAGCATTCCATTGTATGAATATACTACTTTTTTAAAAATGCATTTTATTGAAATAATTTATGTACAGTGAAATACACAAAACTAAAGTTACATAGGTTAATGCTTTTTTTTTTTTTTTTTTTTTTGCAGTGTTCCCTCCTCTCCCCTCCCTGGCAACCAACAAAGAAAGTTTCCCACTATGTATAAGGTTTTCCTTGACCCTCCACAACAACGAACTAATACTATATTTGTCCTTCTGTGACTGACTTCTATCACTCAGCACAATGTGCTCCAAGTCCATCCACGCCATGTGGTGCTTTGCAGACTCCACATCACTCCTCAGGGCTGCATAGCGCTCCACTGTGTGCATGCACCACAGCTTGGTCACCCACTCCTCTGTCAATGGGCACGCGTAGGTTACCTCCATCCTCTTCCCACAGCAAACAGTGTTGCGATGAACATGGGTGTGCATATGTTCCTGTCCTGACTCTCACCTCTCTAGGATATACACATAGTAATGGGATTGTTGGGTCTAATGGTATGTATCTCCAATTCCAACTTTCTAGGGAATCACCATACTGCTTTCCACAGTGGTTGTATCACTTCACAATCTCACTAGCAGTGTATGAGAGTCCCAATCTCTCCACATCCCTGCCAGCATTTGTTATTTTGTCTCACTGAACCTTGTCATCAGTGCTGGGGTGAGACAGTATCTCATTATTGTTTTGAAATGGGTAGATGGTAAAGGTATCAACTGAGATAAAGAAGGTAAGAAAAGTTGTGTGGAGAAAAGATAAGGAATTCATTTCAGGATATGAAGTGCCTTAGTTAATCAGGTCATGCCATTGGAATTATAGATCTGGAGCACAAGAGAGAAGTCTGGGCTATAAATGTTGGAGGGATCAGTATGATGGGAATGAATGAATTGGCCAATACAGAACTTCAAAAATTCCAAATTTAAGGGAAGATGAAGAAAAGAAAATCAGAAAAAGGGAGCAGAAATAGTAGTGAGAGGTGGGGGAAGAGAAGCCATTGGGGAAAAATTTCAAGGAAGGTAAGAAACCCAGGAATTCCAGTGCATAAGGGATGATGAAGAAAATGAAGTCAGAAGGGAAAAACAAAACAAAACAAAAAAACAGAAATAGTGGTCAGACGCAGAGGAGGAGAAGCCAAGGGGAAATTTTCAAGTGGTGTCAAATGCCACAGTGAGGTAAGAAAATGAGACCATTAGATTTGGCATGTGGCAACCTTTTTCAGAGCATTGAGAAATATATGTAGGTTGAGGAAGTGGAGACAGGGATAGACTCCTCTGCAAAAACATTAGGTTGTAAAAGGAAGGAGAGAATTTATACACAGACATATAAAAGAATAAAACAATAAAAGAGCTGTACAAAATGCTATGTAATCAGGGGCCAAATTAGTGGGGAGGTAGGGAGTAGAAGAGGGAGAAGAATGTGCCTGGTGGCTGCAGTTCTAATCTCTGGCCACTAGGTGTCAGGGACTGATTGCATCTCCTGATTGGTACTTTGCCCACTAGGAACAGAGAAACAGGCCAAGCTGAGTGTTTGAGGGGAAAGGACCATGCAAGCGCAACATACGGGTCACAGCTGCTGGTGGAGCAAAGAATGCCCACCTCTGAGGTGACACAGGATGGGAATGAGTTGGCTTCATGGGATGCGGAACTCCCTAGGAGTGAGAGCTCATCAGCAATTCTGCTTTGGCTTTCTCTCATTTTCAGTGTTAGGAACACTGAGGATATGGCCTGTGGAGGAAGAAATCAAGAATCCCATAAGTTCTCCAGCATCGCCTTGAGCTTTCAAAGGGCTCTTATGATCCAACAGTTTGATCTGACACACACTTTATTGTTCCTGTTACTCAATTCCTGATTTCCAACCAGTTCTGCTTCCTTCCCACCTTGGCCGCCTCCAGGCTGTGTCCACCTTCTCCTCTTCCTCCAAATGCTGGCATTTTTGTGGTAGAAAAAGCAGAAGCCTGGGGAAACCAAAAACTAGAGTCCTTACCCACATCTTATCAAGTAATATGACCTTGTGTGTGCTGTTGCACAATCCTCCTTATATGTAAAACAGCAGTGTGTGGGGGCAGGGTGCTGGATGAGGAGTAACAGTTGCTGTCCAGTCGATGCCAACTCATGGTGACCCCATATGTGCAAAGAAGATTGTGTTCCATAGGATTTTCAAGGCTATGACTTTCTGGAAGTAAGTCACCAGGCCTTTCTTCCAAGGTGCCTTAGAGTAGGTTTGAATCACCAACCTTTTGGTTAGTAGCCCAAGGCTTAACTGGTTTCTCCACCCATAGATTTCAGATGTGGATTGGAGGAGTATAAGTTAAACGACTTCATAGCTCTCATCTACCTTTATAAGCTAGAACAAATACTCTGTATTCAGCCAAGGGTACAGTTTCTGTCCCTTTGGGCAAGTTGCCTTTTCTTGGTATTTAGGAGTCGGGAAAATAAATCATTGGTGTTCATGATTCTCAAGACCTCAGGTAGGGCTGTGGCTTCTGATCAACAATAATGTATGATTTTGTGGATGATTCTAGATGCCTCTAATAGATGTTGTTGTTAGAAACTGGTGGCAGAGTGGTTAAGGCATTTGGCTGCTAATAAAAAAGGTTGGTAATTAGAACCCACCAGAATCTTTCTCTGCAGGAGAAAAGTGAGGCACTGTACTTCCTAAAGATTTACAGCGTTGGAAAGCCTATGGGGCAGTTCTACTCTGTCCTAAAGAAAACAAAAAACTCACAGCCGGTGAGTCAACTCCTAGCTACCCCTCCTTGGGTTTCCGAGGGAGCATCACCACGGAAGTAGATTGCCCAACCTGCCTTCCGAGGAATGCCTGGTGGGTTTGAACCGCCAGCCTTCTGGTTAGCAGTCAAATGCCTTAGGCACTAGGCGACCAGAGCTCACGCAGGGCCGCTATGAATCAAAATCAACTAGATGGCAGTTGGTTTGGTTTGAACCGATACTGTGAAAAAGAGTCCCACATTCAATAAAGGAAGTGGAATTTCCAGTCTTACCTTTTGTTAACCCTAAAATAAAGTGCTGTTCCGTCATCGTCAGAGCTGTCTGCGTGCGCACAAACCAACTTTCTTATCCTCATTTTGTAAATGCGGAAACTGAGGCACTGAGAAGCGCAGTGATTTCTAGGATTCTGTGACGAGTTCCTCCAACTCTCTGGTATGACACCGTCTTCCGTGTCGTCTGAAGTGAGTAGGTGAGAGACAAGTAGAGGGCCTGACCCTGGAGTCAGGACTCCAGGGGCTGGGAAAAGGCGCCTGTGAGAGAAAGTGGGACAGTCAGACCCAGAGGCTGGAGGAGTAGCGCTGACAGTTTCGATTGGCTCGTATTTCTAGGACGGTTTCTGCAGAAGGGGGAAGGGGGCTCACGGCGTCCGTCCCCGTAGCAGAGGCGCAGTCATGTTAAGGGTTAAGAGCACCCAAAGAAAATAGAAGTAGTAGGAGGAAGTGGGGCGCTGGGTCGCAGCGAGAGAAGGAAGCAGAGCGTCGCAGCTTCCCCTTTCTCCTCCTTCCCCGAAGCTCCCACCCCAAGCCGCTCCCCTGCCCCGCCCACCTCTCCTGAGGAGCCAAAGCCGCTTTTTCCGCCCGCCTGGCCAAGTTCACCTTACTCTGGGTCCCGGGCGGTGGTCTCTGGTGAGCGTCTTTGGTTTCCCTCGGGCCAAAGCTGCTTATCCGCCAAGGCCTATTCCTTGCGAGGGCAGACGCCCTGGGAGCAGGGGGCTGCTTCTGAGATGCCTGCAGGCTCCCGGGCGTGACTCGCAGGATGCGCGGGCCTCGCCGACACCTCGCTGACTTTGCCCGGCCAACAGGTGGCGTGGGTGTGTGGCTGGGCGGCCAGGGCCGCGCATGCCCAGCCCCTGAGCAAGCCCCGCCCCTCCTTAGCCCCTGCCCCGCCCAGGCTTAGCGGGCCCGCCAGAGGGGCGTGGCCTGGGCAGATGTGGGGACCTGGAGCAAAGCTCCAGCCCAGGCGCGGTGGTCGCGACTGTAAGCAGCCTAGGGGAGAGTCGCCGCTGGAGAGGGGCTCGGCGCCCGGCGGGGACTGCAGGTGTGTGGCTGGGCAGTGGACACGCGCCGAGGGCCGGATGGGGGCTCAGGACAGAGCAGAGCAGGCTGGGGACCGTCGAGGGACAGTGAACGGTGACAGAAGCGGATGCCCTGGGAGCTAGACAGATCCTCCGGTCTTCCGACTCGGTGGAGTGGGTCCGTCAACCGCGTTCCCAGTGATTCCGGAGGCAGAGGGACGTGCAAGAACCGTGCATCGCTACCCAGGTAACCCTTGTTGGCGCCCCTGTGCGGCCTGAGGGTGTCCGCAGCCTCCCGTCTCCTCCACAGGCCACCCTGTGTCATGGGGTCCAGCAGTCTGCGCCTCTCTGGTGGGAACTCTCTCAGCGAACTTTGGCATCAGGGGTCCTTTGCCATCAAGCCCTGAGAGTCGTGGAAGTGCCTGCCTAAGGCACCCCCCATTGGGCCTCAGCCTGCTCCCCGCTAGTGAATGTGGGCCTTTCAGAGCTTAGCCGCTGTTCTAGAGAATTACACGCTACACGTTGTCGAGGGTGTCTCTGCGTGGCTGTGTGTGTGTGTGTGTGTGTGTGCATGCGCGCAGGCTGGCCCGTCCCAGGGCTGGGGTAAATAAGAAGTTCAGGTTAGTAGGAGGAAGGAGATTGTTTAGTGGGAAAAAGAAGGCAAGATGAAAGCAGCAGGAAGTGGCACAGTGTTAACAAACCTCCCGTGCAGACAGCAGCGGTAAGTTTAGGCAAAACGAGCCTGAAAGTAGGCCGCGTCTGCCTGGAAGGTCCCTCTGGATTGCCATTTTTTCTGTCCTTCACCCTCCACATCACTTGGTGAGACTCTGTTTCCCAGAGCTGAGTGAACCTCTGGCTCTCCCACGGTGCTTCTTAAAACACCTGCTCTCCAGGTGGTGGCCTGCAACATAGCTTTCCAGGGGTGGGGTCTGGAATTTCTATTTTTCTAAATTTGTCCTGAGCTCCTTAAGTGATGATGCTGAAGCCATTGCTTGGGAACCATGTGTGATATGGAAAGGAGACCTGCATTCCAGCCAGGCCTAGCTGTGTGACTGTCAGCATCTTCCTGCCCCTCTCCTATCTGTAAAATGGGCTCTACTACCTGCCTCGCAGGACTGTGTGGAAAATTTAGTGTGTTGATGTGGCTGCACCTGGGAGATGCTCTATGGATGTTTGTAGAGCAAAGAGGGGGCGTCGGGGCTTATTTGCTTCCTCAGTGTGACCACAGTGGTGTGGTCATCACCCCAGCGGTGTAGAAGACAAGAAGGTAGTTTTGGGTGGTCAGGCCCCCTCTTCCTGCTTTAGGATATGCTCCCCCTGCTATTTGAAGCATAACTCGTCAGAACTGTGGGGGCAGGAAGTCTTGGGGTCTTTGTATGCTGGGCCTTGTTTGGGTTTTATAACTAACCAGTTGCCTTCAAGTCAACTCTGACTCATGGTGACCTTGTGTGTCAGAGTGGAACTGTGCTCCATAGGGTTTTCAAGGGCTGATTTTTCAGAAATCAATTATAATTGTCAGACCTTTCTTCTGATGTGCCTATGAGTGGACTTGGATGTCCACCTTCTTGGTTAGCAGCTGAGAGTGTTAACCATTTGCACGACTCAGGACCTCTCCTCCCTTTATCCCCAGCTTAGGTGGGAGGTAATTATCTTTCCTCCCCAAGTTCCAGTGGAAGGAGACCACCTCTGTCTTTCCCGTCTCTCCTTCCTCCCTCACATGCACCTCTTTCTGTTTCTTTCAAGAATAATAGGGTGGAAGCTAAATGGTTGTAGTGGGTGAGAAGTCTGTTTGGGGCTGATGGAAGGGTAATGCTGAGAAGGCAGGCGTGAAAGAGGCTGACTGCTGGAGGTGCATGTACAGTCCCAGGTTAGTCACTGCTCACGGGACCTGGCAGAGTGGGAGGAGCCAGGGCCCTTCTTGCCGGGGCAGCTTAGAGTTGGGCTGACTCCAGGGGACCCTGTGAACCAGAAGACCTGTTTGGCCTTAGCTGTAGGTAGGCTGAAAGCCTGGGTCAGTGTCTTGAATAAGGAAACTTCTAGAGGGACAAGATAGAGTGATCACCAGCAGGTCAGAGAGAGGTATTTAATTTTATTTTGGAGCCTCTGCCATAGATAGAGGGACAAAGGAAGGACTACATCTGACTCTTAATCAAAGGGAAGATGAGACATTTTCATAGCAAACATTTATTTCATGTTAGGATATCACACTGAATCGAAGATGTACATATTTTTTCACATTTTAACAATCCTGAAATCAAAAAGCATCTTATAGCTCCTGCCTCTCACCATTATAATAACCAGAAAAACTAGTTACCATTGAATCAATTCTGACTCATGGCGAGCCCCCATGTGTCAGGATAGAACTGTGTTCTGTGGGGTTTTCAATGGCTATGATCTTTCGGAAGTAGATCATCATCAGGCCTTTCTTCCAAGGTGCATCTGGGTGGATTCAAACTGCCATCCTTTTGGTCAGAAGCCCAGCACTTAATCATTTGTGCTGCTCTGGTAGCATAGTGCCTAAGGCAGTTGAATGCTAACCAGAAGGCTGGCGGTTCAAACCCACCAGCCACTCCTCAGAACGAAGATGGGGCAATCTACTTCTGTAGTGATACTGCCTCGGAAACCCAAGGAGGGGTCGCTATGAGTCGGTCCAACTCGACGGCACATAATAACAACGACAACATGGACTCCTTACAAATATAATGTCGTCAGGTGCCGTTGAGATGATTCCAACTCACAGTGACTCCACATAACACAGTGCAACTGGCCCATAGGGTTTTCTTAGCAGTAATCTTCCCCGAAGCAGATTGTCATCCTTTTCTCACAGAGCTGCTGGGTAGGTTTGAATGGCCACCCTTCTGGTTAGCTGCCAAGCGTTAACCATTTGCCACTAGGGTTCCTTTACAATGATAATAGACAGTGGTATTTCTTTCAAATTTTTATTGTGATTTGAGTGAAAGTTCACAGAGAAAATTCATTTTCCATACAGCAGTTCATACACATTATGTTTCATGACATTGATTGCAATTCCCCACAGTGTAACAGCTCTCTTCCTGACAGCGGTATTTCTTTCTCAGTGACACATGAAATAATACTGTATCTTACAATTCATGGCATCTTAAATTTTGTTAAATACATTATGTTTTACAAATATCTTTGGATGTTTTTAAATGTACACAGATACACACAGAATTATGTTATTCCCCTAGGTGAACTTGCATATATTAAATTTTTCTAGCATCTCTTCCTTTTCAACACCAAAATTTTTCATTGAAACCATCTTGAAGGAAATCTTGTAAATTGTGATATGATTTAATACTTTTTCTGAGAATATCAAATGGTTCTAGCCCCTGCATTCTCCTTTGTACCTCGAGTCTGCTCAAGAGACATTTTCTGCCCTTTCTCGTTTGTCTTTCTTTGACCTTTTCCTCTTTGGCTAAGATTTCATGGTGCTGGGCACTGTGCTTAGTACTTTGTGTCCTTTCATCTTCACAGCCACACTGTGACATAGCTACGGCTGTTGTCTCATTTTGCCATGAGGAAACTGAGGGCCAAAGCCACACAACGAGAAAGTGCCAGAGTTGGGCTGCCTCTGCCATCTGATTTTTACCAGAGATAACCAACCCTAGTGGCAGGCTGAGAGCACCTCTCCTGAGTGTGAGGTGCATGACCTGTAGGACATAAATTTTGAGGCATGAATTGTGGCTGTTCACAGGTCTTTTTTGTTTCCTTCTAGGTTTGCAGTGAGGTTCTGGATAGTTGAAGTTATCAGTTAAGTGACTTCTTGATAAGTGAGGTATCATTGTAAAAAAGTGCAGCTGATAGGAGGGTGGGGCTAATGAATGGGAAGAAATAGGTGACTCTCTTGGCATGGAATGGGTACTTGTCCTTCCCGAGTGCACTGTACTACACATTGGGGTGCCAGATTTTAGGCTTTAGAGTTAGGCATCAGTGGGAAATTCCAGCCTCGTCTCCTGATGCTCAGGCTCTCTGAGCTCCTGCTGGTATCTGAATATCGCAGGCGATCTCAGACCTCTGTGCCTTTGCATATGCTGTTCCTTTGGCACAGATCGTGCTTCCCTTCTCCTGTCTGCCTGGTGAGCTCTGAATCCATCCTTCAATACCAAGCTCAAGCCTCATCTTCTGACATCCTCCCCAAGCCCCCTCCCCACCCCACAGCACTGACCACCCCTCCTTCTGTCCTCAAGTTGCCTTTAGCATCTTCTCTCATAGCATTGATTCTTGGCATCATGGTGGCTTGCTCACCAGAGACACCTGTGTGGCTGTTAAAGCTGCCAACAAGAAACTTCCCTGGATCTCCTAGGCAAGAGGTCCATGTATCCACTGAAAGCAGGATGGGTGTAGGGGCAGAGTGGGGGTCAGGAGGGAGTGGTGAGCTTTTCATTTTCGTGTCCTCTGGAGCCTTCTTGTTGTTGTTATTGACCTAGGCAAATAAGCTTGTGTGGTTTCCTTATTGGGGGCAGGGCTGGGTGTGAGGGCAGAGGGTGGTTTCCAGGTCCCTGTCTTCCATGGAGTCAGGGGACCTTGTTGCTGCCATAATCCACCATGCCTGCCCACATGACAGCGAGTAAATCCATGCACCTCCTTAGGGTAAGTTTTCCCACATGTGAGATGGAAGTGTTGTGCTAGAGGCTCCCTAACTTCTAACATTTGATGCATTTGCTCACTTTTATTGGCACTGAGCACATTCTGTAGGAGCTCTGGTGGTGTCATGCCTAAGGCATTTGACTGCTAACCAGAAGGCTGACAGTTCAAACCCACCAGCCGTTCCTAGGAGGGAAGATTGGGCAATCTACTTCCATAGAGATACCACCTCAGAAACCCAAGGAAGGGTCGCTATGAGTCGGGACTGACTCGACGGCAGTGAGTGAGTTTTGGGAGTGGACTAGGGTCTGAGCAAGGAACACTGTCTAGTGTTCCTTTCCTTATCGAATCACAGTCTAGTGGGAAAGACACTAGACGCACGTATTATTCAGTTACAGTTGTAAGAATTATGGGCTCC